AGCGTCCAGGTGGGGATCCACCATTTGGATTCTTGGATGTGTATCCCACTTAGGATCCGTGGTTTATAATCCAGACATAACTTATATTTCATCCTGTCAATACCTGGGGTTATTCCAGATATCACTGGGGGTATAACCTATTTACCAAGTAGGATGTACCCAAGTTTCCAATGGCCACACTTTATATCCATCACAACCCACCGCCTGAAACGGCGTCGTAAAAGAATCTTCCGGACGAGACGGATGATCTTGCACATGGCCTCCCGGTGATTTTGGACGGAACATCATGTCTAAATCCTAAATGGTATAATTCCACGAAAATTCCTTTATGAACAGTGTATATTTAAATGTATGTAATGTAATGCAGTGTGATGTAATGTAAGGTAATGTAATGTGACGTAATGTGATGTAATGTAATGTATATAATGTAATTTAATGTAATGTAATGTATGTGTGTATGTATGTTCCTCAAATTATGTATATATATATATATATATATTAAAAACTAAAATATATAATGTGTAATGATACATATATAATATAAAATATATAACGTATAATATAAATAAATAAATAAATAATACATCATATATAACAGAAAATATTATATATATATATATATATAAATAACATGTAATATAAAACATATAATATATAACATATAATATATAACATATAATATATAACATGTAATATGAAACATAAAACATATAACAATTAATGTAAAATATGTAATATAATAAATAATATACGATATAAAAGAAATACAATATACAATATAAAAAAAAAATATGTTCTATAAAATATATAATATCTTAAATATTATATATTATGCAATATATAGAAACATCCCTGAAAATAAAATATATGTTGTATAATATGTAGATAAACGGTGATAAACGTGAAACATGTAGATTTGGGCTGAGTTGCTGGATATAACATGAACTAACTAGCAACACTGTAGGGTTTATGGTGGTGAAGCCAAAAAACACCATCAAATCCGACAAGTGTGTTGGTTTACTGTATGTCTAATGATATCCCATCATATCCCGGTTTATAGATGATGTTCAACATTCTTAGACCCATTTCAACCTTAGACAGACCTATATCAAATGGTTGGTGATCCATATCACGACCTGTCTTGAAGTAGATACTGGATCTTGAAGAAGATTAGGATTAGAATATATTATGGACTATGATAGATAGATAGATAGACAGATAGATAGATAGATAGACAGATAGATAGATAGATAGACAGATAGATAGATAGATAGATAGATAGATATTATAGTGTATTTTACATATAGTATGCAATGTTCGGATTTGAACATATTTCATATCTAGGAACATGATATCATGTGTCCTAAAGCATATTTTACAGATCTTTATTCGGCCATGTGGTGATGACTTCCCCAAATCCCATTTTTTCTATGGTGAGATCAAAGGGGTGTTGCTATTTTCTTTACCTAGCCTAGACCACATTTCTGGATAACTTGTAACTGGTTGGTGGTTTTAACCATCTTGAAAAATGTGAAAGTCAGTTGGGATGGATGATCCCATGTATTATGGAAAAACAAATCATGTTTGAAACGACCAACCAGATAATCATTCACAAACCTGAAATAAAGCGATTTTGGGATTTTAGTTACTCATATCCTATGCATCATCACTCCAGTGACGTCACAGTGAAGCGCTT